CTTTCCCCATTGCTTGTTTTTGTCAGGTTTGTCAAAGATCAGATGTCGTAGATGTGTGGCATTGCTTCCAGGGTCTCTGTTCTGTTTCATTGGTCTATATCTCTGTTTTGGTACCAGTACCATGCTGTTTTGATTACTGTGGTCTTGTTGTATAGTTTGAAGTTAGGCAGCATGATGTCTCCAGCTTTGTTCTTTTTGCTTAGGATTGTCTTGGCTATGTGGGCTCTCTTTTGGTTCCATATGAAGTTTGAAGTGGTTTTTTCCAGTTCTGTGAAGAAGCTCACTGGTAGCTTGATGGGGATAACGTTGAATCTATAAATTACTTTGGGCAGTATGGCCATTTTCATGATGTTGATTCTTTCCAACCATGAGCATGGGATGTTTTTCTGACTGTTTGTGTCCTCTCTTATTTCATTGAGCAGTGGTTTGTAGTTCTCTCTAATGAGGTCATTTACATCCCTATTAGTTGTATTCCTAGGTATTTTATTCTCTTTGTAGCAATTGTTAATGGGAGTTCACTTTTGATTTGGCTGTTTGTCTGTTACTGGCTTGTGATTTCTGCACACTGATTTTGTATCCTGAGACTTTGCTGAAGTTGCTTATCTGTTTTAGGAGATTTTGGGCTGAGATGATGAGGTCTTCTAAATATTCAATCATGTCATCTGCAGATAGAGACAATTTGACTTCCTCCTTTTCTAATTTAATATGCTTTATTTTTTTCTCTTGCCCGATTGCCCTGGCTAGAACTTCCAATACTATATTGAATAGGACTGGTAAGAGACGGTATCCTTGTCTTATGCCAGATTTCAAAGGGAATGCTTCCAGTTTTTGCCCATTCAGTATAATATTGGCTATGGGTTTGTTGAAAATAGCTTGTATTATTTTGTGATATGTACCATCGATACCTAGTTTACTGAGAGTTTTTAGCATAAAGTTCTGTTGAATTTTGTCGAAGGCCTTTTCTGCATCTATTGAGATAATCATGTGTTTTTTGTCTTTCGTTTTGTTTATTTGATGGATTACATGTATAGACTTGCATATGTTGAACCAGCCTTGCATCCCCAGGATGAATCCTACTTGATCATGATGAATAAGCGTTTAAAAACCCTTCAAAAAATCAACAAATTCAGGAGCTGGTTTTTTGAAAAGATCAACAAAATAAATAGACTGCTAGCCAGACTAATAAAAAATAAAAGAGAGAAGAATAAAATAGATGTAATAAAAAATGATAAAGGGGACATCACCACCGATTCCACAGAAATACAAACCACCATCAGAGATTGCTACAAACAACTCTACACACACAAACCAGTAAATTTGGAAGTAATTGATAAATTCCTGGACACTTGTACTATCCCAAGACTAAACCAGGAAGAAGTTGAAACCCTGAATAGACCAATAACAAGGGTTAAAGTTGAGGCAGCAATTAATAGCCTATCAACCAAAAAAGTGCAGGTCCAGATGGGTTTACAGCTGAATTCTACCAGACATCGAAAGAGGAGTTGGTACCATTTCTTCTGAAACTATTCCACACAATACAGAAAGAGGGAATCCTCCCCAACCCATATTACGAGACCAACATCATCCTTATACCAAAACCGGGCAGAGACACAACTAAACAAGAAAACTTCAGGACAATATCCATGATGAACATTGATGCAAAAGTCTTCAATAAAATGCTGGCAAACAGAACACAAAAGCAGCAACATTCTTAAGTAGAAGGTATGTGATAAAAGAAACAATAGACAACAAACACACTTGAAGTAGGAGAATTAACTTCTATCAATGGCATGTTAAGTCGTGATAATGACACTTCCAGTGGTCAAAAATATATCAAAAAATATAGGATAATTTAATGACATAATTAAGTAGATATATTTTATAAATGTCTATAAAAATATGTTATATGCTTTCTACAAATATTAACAAACATTAAAACTGACCATACACTAAGCCATTAGAGAGCATCTCATTAAATTCTGAAAGGTGAAAATAAAACAATAATCTTTCCTTACAATATAATAAAATTAAATTATAACATCAGAAAAGAGTAAGTCTCTTTCACTGAAAACTAAATAAATTGCTCTAAAAACAACCCTTAGAGGAGAGGCAAAATAAATTTGTAGAATTAAAAATAATACAGCTAAAGCAGTATGTAGAGAAAAGTTCAAAGCCTTAAATGTTTGCATCATTAAGAAACTGTTCAGGTACCATCAAGACAGAAAGGGAACACAGATAGCAGAGAGGAGTAAAGCTGGGTTGCAGCCTGTCTGGGATCAACATCCAGCCAGGAGAAGCTCTCCAACATGGGAAAGGGTGAATCTCTGGGGGATTCACACTCTCCACAGAGACCTCTGCAAGACTGGGAACAGGAGAATGCCCCAGCACCCTGTCCCAAGTACCGCCTACTATGCTTCTAAACTGAAGCAGAAAGATCCCCAGAGTTTTTGCAGATGCTATTCTCAGGTCTAAAGGGACCTCTAACAAGCCTCAGACCCTGGAACAGACCAGCACCAGCATCATAACCCAGAAAGTGGCTGCAGTCGTGGTGCCTGGTAGCAGTAAGATGGCTCTATGCCTACCTACCATACAAGGCTCAATACCAGCTTTTGACCCAGTGATCCCACACCTACCTGAACTCAGCCAGTAGCTGTAGCCTGCTGCTGTCCCAGGAAACGCTCAGAAGGCAGGGCAGGAGACCACCCCGCCACTGGTATCCAGGTGAGCCACACCTGGTAGAGCTTCTGGCCCAGTGGTTCTACTTTTGCCTGAAGTCTGCAGAGAAGCACAGTCTCCTATTGCCCTGGAAAATACTTAGATGGCAGAGCAAGCAACTCCACCCATTCGTATCTGTTGTAGCCAGATTATCCATACCCACTAGAGCTTCCAGATCAGCAGTCTGGCTTCTGCCTTAACTCTGCCAGCAGCCACAACCCCTAGTACTCCTGGGAAGCACCCGGACAGATCAGATGATCTCATTCACCTTCACAGCTCCTACCTGAAAAGGACTTGCTGGATTAGGTGGTGCCCAAGCAGAGAGGAGCCCTCACTCTAGGATCACTGAGAGAGGTGTGATGCCCAGGTTTGCAAACCAGTGGAGGGGCAGGGTGTGGCTCTCCCCATAGGGCTGCCCTGGCAAGGATACCTCCTGTCTACTAACCACAGAACCTGCCTGAAGGAGCCTGGTGGACTAGAACACCCAACAGACAAAACAGGGGCACAGAACCAGTAATCAGAAAGGGCGTCTCCAAGGCCCAGGAGTGGACAAGTGAGTGGGTCACATCTCCCCACTGTCCACTAAAAAACACTATGGCCAACCTTGCCGAAACACAAAAGAGCCTTGAAGCAGAGCAAGGACCTACCTGCTGGTTAACACTCTTAAGTGCCACCTACTGGATCTCAGCCAAATACTAAGACCACAAGTTTTTGCCAGTATAGGGAACCTGTGAAAACTAAGAAAGGCTCCCCCCAGCACCCCACCCCAGCCAATGCAGGTGTACTTCACCACAACACCACAGCTGGCACATGCAAGCAAGCACTGATCCTGCTGCCACCACCCCAGTGATGTGCTTTGGCCAGCCCTCCCTGTCAGAGTGTTAAAACCTACAGACTGAGAAGACCTCAGTCCCTCCAGGACAGCAGATTCCTACCCTCAAGGGGACAAAGAACAAAGCTGGGGTCCTAGTACCAGCCCCCAAAGTTACAGGGCACAATCCAGGAGTATTGAGCTGACCATTAGCCACCCCAAATCTTCCAGAACCAAAGGCAATTAACTGAACTTACCTTATACCAGAATCAAGCCCTGAAGGGCATCAAAGAAGATAAAAGAAAAAAGAAATCCAAATTACAGCAACTGTAAAGATTAAAGGAACATTAGCCCACACAGATGAGAAAGAACTAGCACAAGAACTCTGCCCACTAAAAAGCCATAGTGTCTTCTTATCTTTAGATGACTGCACAATTTCCCCAGCAATTACTCTTAACCACAATGAAATTGCTTAAATGACAGAAATAGAACATGGATAGTAACAAAGATCAAGATTCAAGAGAAAGTTGAAACCCAATTCAAGGAATCTAAAGACAACAATAAAAAGATGTAGGCGCTGAAAGACAAAATGGACATTTTAAGAAACAACCAAACTGATGTGACAGAGCTGAAAAACTATAAAAATTTCAAAATATCACTGCAAATACTAACAGCAGAAAAGACCAGACTGACAAAAGAATCTCAGAACTCAAAGATGAGTTCTCTAAATTAAGTAAGACAAAAAAAAAAAAAAAGAACAAAACCTCCAACAAATATGGGGTTATGTAAAGAGACCAAATCTGTGACTCATTGGGTGAGAAAGCAAGCAATTTTGAAAACCTATTTGATGATACCATCCACAAAAATTTCCCCAACTTTACCAGTGAGGCCAACATTCAAATTCAGCAATTGCAGAGAACCCCTGCAAGATACTATTCAAGAAAACCATCCCCAAGAAACATAGTCATCAATTCCCCAAGGTCAACATGAAATAAAAGTATCAATAGCAGCTAGACAGAAAGGGCAGGTCACCTTCAAAGGCAACCCCATCAGGCTAACAGCAGACCTTTCAGCAGAAATCTTACCAGCCAGAAGAGACTGGGGGCTTATTTTTAGCACTCTTAAAGAAAGGAAATTCTAACCAAGAAATAAGATCCTTTCAGACAAACAAATGCTAAGGTAATTCATCACCACCAGCACTGCCTTACAGGAGGTCCACAAGAGAATGCTAAATATGAAAAAAAAAAAATCACTGGACACCACAAATACACACTTACATAAACCACTGACACTAAGCAACTATACAATCAAGTCTGCATAATAACCAACAAACAACATGATGGCAGAATCAAATCTGCTCATATCAATATGAACCTTGAATGCAGACAGGCTAAATGTCCCAATTAAAAGGCAGAGGGTGGCAACTTGGAAAAAGAAGGAAAACCCAACTGAAAGCTGTTTTCAAGAGACTCACATGTAATAACACCCAGAGGCTCAAAGTAAAGAGGGAAAAAAAGACCTCAACCAAACAGACAGAAAACAGAAAAAAGCAGAAGTTGCTATTCTAATTTCAGACAAAACAGACATTAAACCAACAGCAATCAAAAACAGACATAGAAGGACATTACATGACGGTAAAGAGTTCAATTCAACAAGAAGACTTAACTATTCTAAATACACATGCAACCAACAGTGGAGCACCCAGATTCATAAAACAAGTTCTTAGAGACTTTCGAAGAGACATAGATAACTACACAATAATAGTGGGGGGTTTAACACCTCACTGACAGTATTAGACAGATCACTGAGGTAGTCAACGAACAAAGACATTGGTGCCTGAAATCAACATTCAACCAAATGAGCCTAATCGACATCTACAGAACTCTTCACCCAAAAACAAAAGAATATACATTCTTTTTATCCATACATGGCACATGCTCTAAAACTGACCACACTATCAGCCATAAAACAATTCTCAGCAAATTTTAAAAAAAATCATACCAACCACACTCTTGGACCACAATGCAAATAAAATAAGACAATCACTCAAAACTATACAATTACAGAGAAATTAAACAATCTGCTCCTCAATGACTTTTGAGTGAACAATGAAATTAAGGCAGAAATCTAGAAATTCTGTGAACCTAATTAGAACAAAGATACAACATATCAAAATATCTGGGACACAGTAAAGCAGTGTTAAGAGGGATGTTTACAGCAATAAACGCTCGCACCAAAAAGTTAAAAAGATCTCAAATTACAACATAACATCACACCTAGAGGAACTAGAAAAACAAGAGCAAACCAACTCCACAGCTAACAGAAGACAAGAAATTATGAAAAACAGAGCAGAACTGAATGAAACTGGGACACAGAAACTATAGAAAAGATCGATGTATCCAGGAGTTTGTTGAAAGAATAAATAAGATTGATAAACTACTAGCTAGATTAATAAAAAGAGAGAAGATCCAAACAAACACAATCAGAAATGAAAAAGGGGACATTACCACCAATACCATGGAATTACAAAATATCCCCAGAGACTACTATGAACTCTTCTATGCACACAAACTACAAAACCTAGAAGAAATGAATACACTACTAGAAACATACAACCTGCCAAGATTGAACCAACAGAAATTGAATCCCTGAACAGATCAATAATGAGCTCTGAAATTAAAGCAGTAATAACATGCCTACCGATCAGAAAAGGCCCAGGACCAGATGGATTCATAGTATAATTTTACCAGATGTATACAGAAGAACTGGTACCAATTCTATTGACACTACTCCAAAAAATTGAGGAGGGGGAACTCCACCCTAACTCATTCTATGAGGCCAGCATCATTCTAATACCAAATCTAGCAGAGACACAACAAAAAAAGGCAACTCCAAGCCAATACCCTGGATTAACATAGATACAAAAATCCTTAACAAGATACTAGCAAACTGAATCCAGCAGCCAATCAAAAAGCTAATCCACCACAGTGAGGTAGGCTGACTACCACAATCAGGTAGGCTTCATCAACATACAGAACTCAGTAAGTGTGACTCATCATGTAAACATAACTATAACAAAACCACATGATCATCTCAATAGATGTAGAAAAGGATTTCAATAAAATTCAACATCCATTCTTATGAAAAATTTTCGACAAACTAGGTACTGAAGTATACCTCAAAGTAATAAAAGCCATCTCTGACAAATTCACAGCCAACATCATCCTGACTGGGCAAAAGCTGGAAGCATTCCCCTTGAGAACTGAAACAAGACAAGAATGCCCACTGTCATCACTACTCCTGTTCAGCATAGTACTGAAGACTACCCAAGGCAATTAGGCAAGAGAGAGAAAGAAAAGGCCTCGAAATAGGAAAACAAACTGTCTTTGTTTACAGACGATACAATTCTATACCTGGAAAACCCTGTAAGACTCTACTCAAAAGCTCCTAGATCTGATAAACAATTTTAGCAAAGTTTCAGGATAAAATAATCAATGTACAAAAATTAGCAACATTTCTATACACCAGCAACATCCAAGCCGAGAGCCAAATCAAGAGCACAATCCCATTCACAGTAGCCACGAAAAGAATACCTAGGAATACAGCTAACCAGGGAGATGAATACTCCCTATGATGAGAATTTCAAAACACTGCTGAAAGAAATCAGAGACGATATAAACAAACAGAAAAACATTCCATGCTCATGGACAGGAAGCATCAATATTGTTAAAATGGCCATACCACCCAAAGCAGTTTACAGGTTCAATGCTATCCCTATCAAACTACCAATGACATTCTTCACAGAATTAGAAAAACTATCTTAACATTCATATGGAACCAGAAGGAGCCTGAATAGCCAAAGCAATCCTAAGCAAAAAGAGCCAAGCTGGAGACATCACATTACCAGACTGCAACTATACTATAAGGCTACAGTAACCACAACAGCATTGCACTGGTATAAATAAGTTACCAAAACTAAAAGAAATTTAAAAATCTAAACAAACAAATTTTCTCACTTCCAAAAAGAAAATATTTTAAAAGAAATGAGTAAAGATGTTACATTTCTATCTCTGCTCTCTCCAAAAATAACAAAACAAAAAATACCAGGGCTAGATGAATTTGTGGTATCATTTTAGTAACCCCTTAAAAAGCATTTCCAAGTAAATTAAAACTTTCCAAGAGAAAAGAGAAATTTAAACTTGCAAATTATTTTTATGAAGTAATTATTAGTTGTACACACACATACTCACCAACTACTGTCTTATCTCACTCATTACTGTCAATATAAAAATCTTTTACAAACTATTGGGAAAGAGAACCCAGCAATAAGCTAAAAGAATACTTGATAAAAATCAACAACTCATAAAAGAAAATCCAGTAATACAAGAAAAGCTGGACACATTCATAATATAAAATGTATCTCAGTCCCAAAGCCAGTATCACGCTTAACAGTGAAACACTACAGGCATCCCAATGTAACTCCAAAACAGAGCAAGGACACATACCATCACCAGTTTGATTTGACACTGTTCTAGCCAATGAAATCAGACAATAGAGTGCAATGAGAATAATGGAAACTATTGCTATTTTCAGACAATATGATTGCATACCTAAAAAATCCAAACCACTGCAAGCAATAATTCAAATCCAGTTAGTTAATAGGATGTAAAATTTAGAAACCAATTGCCTTCATATATAAAAACAATTTGTTAAAGCACATGTTGAAAGAAAACTTTCCATTTACAACACCATCATAACAAGATAAAATGCCTAGATATAAAACTTAACAAGACATATATCATAGTTTTATGACGAAAACTTTTAAGTGCTTTAAAAAGTTGCTGCAGCTGTGGGGAAGCAGGCACGTAACACACCGTTGTTGGAAGCATAAGGTGACAGCAGGGCAATCTGACAACACCAACCCAAACTACAAATGCACAAACAAGCATAAAATTACACAAAATAAAAGTTCATTCACTGCATCATTGTTGCAATGGCTGCAGATTAAGAACCATCCGCCTATCAATAGAAGAATGTTAATTCAGGCTAATTCACACAAGGCAGTACTATGCAGCTCTGCAAATGTGATGAAGCTTTCCATGTACTGATAAGGAAGATCCCTAAACAATGATTTAATTAAAAAGCAATGTATACAAAGGTTTATATTCTAACTTTCGTAGAAAAAAAATAAAATGTTAAGTTTTTTTTAAATGTGCACTAAAAACTTGAAAGCACCTAAGAAATGAATGTCAGTGCTGGGCATATGGGTGACACAAGTAGATGTGAAATGAGGTTGCTATGTACTAGCACTCTGCAGATTACTTTTTAATCACGGCAGTATAATAACATAATACCTACTTATAAAATTAAACTAAAGGAAAACATTGCTAGTGGCATTAAAAATTATACAACCAGTATAATAGTGAAGACAAACTACTTTATGCTGCATTACCTAACTCTAAATTACAGAGGCTTCTCATAACAAAAGTGTTATTTCTCCCTCAGTCCATGTCCATCACTCGTTCATTGGCTGGGCTGTCTTTTATGTGGTTCTTCATCAGTCCCCATGCAGAGAAAAAAGTGCTCCACAGGGACTCACACTGGTCATTCAGTCTTCCAGCCCAGACACAACACTTGTCACTTCTGCTTACAACCCATTGGCTAGGACTAGTCACATGGCCCCACACAAAGCACAAAGAGGGTTTAAGGCGAATAAAACACATACTGGTAAGCCACAATAATAACAACCATAACCATTTTGGAGAACAACTTTATGTTTTTAAAATACCATTTAGATAACACAAAGGCCAGTGAAGATATCCATACACTTTGATCCAGCAATTACATTTCTGGAAATGTCTAATGATATATTCCTAAGTAATTACAAACAAACGGGTAGAAATGTTTTATCCCTGGACATACCACTCACCAAAATGGAGTGAACTGTTCTTTGACCCTTTCTAAGGCAGCCAAATGCCCCAATACCATTCTCCTTTAAAAAAAATAGTTATAAATAGTTGTAAAAGCAAATAAGCACAGGTGGAAAGACAGTGTTTTGCTTTCAATTATTGGGACATTCATTATATATGTGGGTATGGTAGCCTAACACACGGACACACAAAATAAACCAAAACATTAGATACGGTCTACCAGCTTATTTGTGTGAAGCTTTATTCTTCACTACATTTTTTACATATATCATCTCAGTGTTTTCTTTTAAATTTTTTAATTTGTTTTCATGTTTAGTTCTAGGGTGCATGTGCAGGATGTGTAGGTTACATAGGTAAATGTGTGCCATAGTGGTTTACTGCACCTATCAACCCATTACCTAAGTATTAAGCCCAGCATGCATTAGCTATTCTTTCTAATACTTTCCATCCCCCTACCCTACGTCCCAATAGGCCCCAGTATGTGTCATTCCCTTCCCCAGGCCCATGTGATCTCATCATTCAGCTCCCACTCATAAGTGAGAAAATGTGGTGTTTGGTTTTCTGTTCCTGTGTTAGTTTGCTGAGGATAATGGTTTCCAGTTTCATCCATGTCCCTACAAAAGGTATCTCATTCCCTTTTATGGCTGCGTAATATTACGTGGTTCATGTATATGTACCACATTTTCTTTATCCAGCCTGTCACTGACAGGCATTTGAGTTGATTCCATGTCTTTGTTATTTTGAATAGTGCTGCAGTGAACATACAAGTGCATGTATCTTTGTAACAGGATGATGATTTATACTCCTTTGAGTATATATCAAGTAATGGGATTACCGGGTCAAACAATATTTCTGGATCTAGCTCCTTGAGAAATCACCACATCATCTTTCATAATGGTTGAACTAATTTACATTCCCACCAACAGTGTAAAAGCATTCCTATTTCTCTGCTACCTTGCCAACATCTGTTGTTTCTTGACTTTTTAATAATGGCCATTCTGACTAGTGTGAGATGATATCTCATTGCGGTTTTGATTTGCATTTCTCTAATGATCAGTGATGCTAAGTATTTTTTTCATATGTTTAGCTGCATTCATGCTTCTTTTAAGAAGTGTCTGTTCATGTCCTTTGCCCACTTTTGAATGGGGTTGTTTTTGTTTTTCTTATTCAACCACATTAGGTCAGTTTTGTTTCATACGTTTGGATTTTATAGACAATTTAATTTAAAGAAAATACCTTGCTTAAAAGAGAATATAACTAATAAGAACACAGATTTTTCAGTGTTATTATTTTATAGATGAGAAATTGAAATCCTGACTTAATTATTTTTGAGTATTCACTATGTTTAGGTCAAACATTTTTCTATTCATAGCAAGGCACAGAGATATAAGTAGTCCTTGACTGTAAGAATTTTGTACCCTGATCATGAAGGTTAGTAACCAATTCAAAGCCATAGAGCTGGTTAGTCTTGTTTTTGTTTTTTGATTATTTTATTGGCAGTGGCTTGGATTATCCTATAATAGAAGTTACAGATTCTTGCTTCAAAAAGCTAAGAGAAAATCACTGAAGAAGTTATTTTAAGTAAAATATACCACATGCTCTATACTCACTCATCTGTTGATGGTCACTTAGATTGTTCCCTGTGAATTATGCTGCAGTGAGCATGGGGTGCAGGTATCTCTTCAACACACTGATTTCAGTTCCTTTGGATATATACCTGGAAGTGAGATTGCTGGGTCATATGGTCATTCAATTTTTTAATTTTTATAAGCCTCTATACCATTTTCATAATGGTTGTGCTAATTTACCTTCACTGCAACCACTTAAAGGATTCCATTTTCCCTGCATTCTTTCCAAGACTTGTTACCTTTTATCTTTTTTAAAAAAAAAGGTTTTTTTTTAAGTTCTGGAATACATGTGCAGAACACGCAAGTTTGTTACATAAGTATATGTGTGCCAAGGTGGTTTGCTGCACCTATTGACCTGTCATTTAGGTTCCCTTCCCTTGACCCCCACCCACAAACAGGCCCTGGTGTGTGTTGTTCCCCTTCCTGTGTCTATGTATTCTTTAGTTTAATTAGATCCCATTTGTCGATTTTGGCTTATATTACAATTACT